AGGAATAATTTATGAAAGTTAATGTTTGAAGACAATGACATATAAACATGTACATGGTCCATCCCTCATCAAAGATGTTTCTGTGACAAAGACAAGGAAGTTCTGTGTTCAAATAATTATATATTTCCAACTTCCTCTGCGTCCTTAAGCAATCTTCCTATAGCTTCAGGGTCTGTTGTTATTTTATACAGGTGTTATACTGATTATTTATTTTTTAAAACCATGAATCAGATAACATAACAACGAGAACCATATGAATACCTAATATATAGAGCTGCATCCTGTGAAATCTTTCTGTAGTATCTGTTATGTTCATTTCTAGAAAAGCTTTTGCACGTGTTCTTGCAATGCAGCAAAGGGAACCTGTTTGTGGGAACTGAAGTGGAATAGACTACCTTCCTACCTTCTACCAAAAACCAGCTTTAATGCAATATGCAGAGCCAAACAGAAGACTGTTGACGTTCGTTAGCTACTAAATTTTGAACAAATACTCCTCAAAAGAAGTAAATAATCAACATTTTGAAATAGATATTGAAGGTATTTCTAAAAACTGAAGATAACTAAAAGCAAAGGCAATCTGAATTAGTATTGACGATCTTGTTCTAAGGCACTTGCACTACTGCAAAACTTAAACATTTAAATTCAGAATTTCTCCAGTAAAATCTAATCCACTGTGTAATAAAACCCTGCTATTGCATATTTAACTGGGAAAGATAAGCTATGAGAAGTAATAGTGGAAACACAACATTGTTACTAACATTCGTTGGAAAACACAGCAGAGAGGTATTTTCAATTATTTTATCAGATTTTCAGTATTAGTTTTGGTAAACACTTTAGGATGTTCAGCATTTATGGGTAATGATTAGTGAAAATTGGTTCTGGACAACCATTTTGTCTTTTAAATTTCATTAACTCTTTTTACGTATGCTGTCATCTCAACATCTGCAATTTTAACAAATTCTTGGAAAGTGTTTTGTTCTTGAATAGTTGCTGGTCTTACAGAGACGCACTTGAAAATGTTCCTTTTTGCATCATAGTTGCCCATGCACCTGTGCACTCGACCTCTAATTAGTCTTGGAAGCTCCCGGTCCTTCATCAAAAGCATAATAAACAAATAAATAAATTAGACATCTTTCTAACATAAAAGCTTTCAAAATGCCCAGTTGTTAGATACTAGTGGATTTCTGAAGACTGCCTCAAATGCAGGCATTTACATCAGTTTTTTTGCTGTTACCAACTACTAAGAAGCTGAACTGGAAGTCCCACCTTTTTGCTGAAACTGAAGTCTGAGGATGCCTAAATAGTGACTGGATTATTGCTCTAGACCAGTTTGGGAACAATATGGTATGAACACCCAGATTTCCTTTTACACAGTAATTTTCTGTTTCATCAGAACAACCTACTATTAGCTTCATAAAAGAGATCATAGCTAGTGGTGTCTGTTATGTACAGACACAGGAACACTTACAATCTCATAAAATACACAAGGCAGGCTCTCCTTTCCATCTCTTAGAAGAAAATTCTTTGCCCCATATGCTCCAGGTGTGACTGCAGAGTCAAGTGTGCCTGTACCATTAAGCACAAATAAATCACAATGTAAACATCAGAGCAGTACTAAGTATGACATACAAAGATACCATGACAACATTCACTACACGAAAGCACTAAGATGTATCAAGTCAGCATCAGCTTTCTGTGAGGACCTGTGCTGACAGCACTGGATGTACCAATACAATTTGTGGGCTTTATATAGTCTTTGAGTAGTGAAGTTGTAGACGATGCCACTCTAAACTGAGTGATAAAACGTGGGTTTCATAGCTGTCGCTCTAAACAGGTTGTTCCCTTGTTAAGCAGAGCACAAGAAGATTCTCTTTTAAGTTTTACTGATCTTCATATGCAAATTAATTTCAATACTTGCAACCTTGTCAAAAGCTTTCTGAGATGCCATTACATTGTATGTTTTTACTCACCTTGATTTAAATTTAGTCATTTCAGTCTTCATTCATTTCTCAGGTAACATCAATTAAAACACACTAAAAGTCATCAACGTTTAGAATTACTCCAGACTTGAATTTATTCCCAGATTAATTATGTTAAAAAATACTGTAAAACTGTACCTCCCTACAGGTTCCTTTTCAATAGGAAAATGTATTGTAACGCATTCTAAAAGCAAGGAAAGAAAAGAAACAGGATAGAAAGAGCTTACATTTTGGAGAATAACGGTAGTATTAATTTTGTACCTACTTTAGTCATATTTGATAGCTGAATGGATATCCCAGCAGGAAAATGAGATGGTGCACATGCCAGTATGTTGTGATTTTATGTATTTCCACTACTGTTCCTACAGTTAATAACATTTTCTCTTCATTGTTGTCCTACCATTACTATCAGTTATAGCACAATCTACCATGCTTACCTAAAACTTCAAATAATAGTGCAGTTTTATAAGCATATTGACTCCAGTGCCTCATACTTTCAATGACTGCAGATATGATTCGCAAAGAATTCTTTTTTTCTTTAGTTATTAATTGATAGGATGAAACTTCCTTTCAGAGGAAAATGAAAACTCAAGTTAGAGATACACGCTCATGCAATTTTAAAAGGCACATAGGCATTTACATAGGTTAAATATCCAATATTTACATGAAAATTAAGAGTATTTTTTCAGACTAGATTGTAGGTTTATTATAATTTGAAAATCTCATTTCTAAATTTTCAGAAACTTAAAGATTTACTAAGGCAGCTAGGATTGATGAAAGCCTCCTTTTCCCACAATTTTCCTTTTCTTTACTGTTTTCTTCATTGTATCTTCCTATTAACTCTCTCCATAAGTTTACCTGACTTTTGTCTTCTGGAACACAATCAAATGCTTTTTTGTTCATTTTATTTTGCTGAATATTGTGGTTAAACTTGTATGCCACACTACGACCCTGCAGAGTTGTTGAAACAGCATTAGGTTTCACTGGCCATTGTCCTTTAGATTTACAGGATGGGCTGGTTTCTCTTGTTTTGACATGCTGAGATGAATTATGGTTAGTTTTCAAACTATTTGAAAAGCTCTCAGACTTTCGAATAATTCCACTATCAGATCTTGAATCTGTTGTGTTACTTAAAGGAGTATACTCATTTCTGTTCCAAACTTCAGTACTGGGAGCCTTCTCTTCTGCCCTGCAGTACAACGTAAGACATAGTTCAGTACTACAATATCTACTTTGAACTCTCAGATATGTAATTAAAGCAACTTATGTATTGCTGTTTTAGCTTTAAAAAAATCTGTTAAATATTCAGACTCTAAGTACTTCAGTGTACACTGAAATTTATCCATATGCAAGGCAGTGATCACACCTGTGCTTAAATCCAGCTGAATTCAATAGGCCTTAAAAGCTTGCTTAATAATTGTCCTGCCTTGTATAAGGGATTCTTCCTGAGCTAAGATTAATATCTTTTCCATAACACTAAAATTAAATAAGCAAAGTTTCTTCTGACAATGATATTTCTGAATTCTTCTAGCACCATCACCGAAGAAATAATTTTACAACAAACTCTAGTGCTGATCTTATTATTTCTAACACCTTTCATTTTATAAGGGCAGCTCAGAAATTCCTTCCACCTCTAATCCATTTTGCCTTTGAAGACACGTGTCTGAAACATTCTCTCTCTTTTTGCCATTGGAAAGGAATAGGAGGAAGGGAAGAGAGAAAAGGGACAGTTATAACATTGCTGGAAGTTTTCCTGCTATCTCTAGGCTTCTGAACCTGTAAGATTTTCCTTGGTTTCTAAAGGCACAGATTTCACAATCGTATTCAGTTTTGATTGAATGTTTCAATAGACAATTGCCCTAATGTACACTAATAGAAAATTACTTGAGTCTATTGATAAATTTTGTTTGAAAGTGGGCAAAACTTCAAGTAAAGGAGAATCTCAATAATTACATCTAAGACCAGCAAAATTCAAACAACTTTATGGCAAGTCTGAATTTTAGCCCTGATAATAAGGCTAGATATTAGGTCTAATTAATAGGCCTCATTAGGTTCACTGGAAAGATATTTCATTTCAGTGGGTTTTGGCTCATAGGCACAATGGAATTACGATCAGTGATGACCTGAGAATTAAAAGGTTCTCTCTGAATGCTGCAAAGCTATGGAAAATTGAAGATATATTTTCACATCAGAAAACGTTTGGTTAAGGAAAGCTAATAAAAAAATAAAGACTTCACCAACCTGCAGGCATACAAGTTCTTTCCAGCATTTGCAAAATTAAACTTTGATGCATTTAGTGGTTTCATAAGGGAGGCAGCCATCCTATGTTCTGTTTGGCTTTCAAAGATAGTTAAAAATAATAAAAGTTAAAATAATAAAAGTTAAAATAATAAGTGAAATAGTAAATAAATAAATTCACTTAAAATAATAAGTGAAATAGTAACAGCTTTTTTATAAGACAGACACATTGATCATAGTTTGTGAAACACTTAATACCCAAATAAAAATAATAAACCACAAATAATCTCCTTTTACATACCCATTGTTTGCTGCTTTCTGTAGTTCAGCCACTTCTGGGTTCGCAGTTCCCCAGCCTAATTCTCAAAAGACAAAGAACTGAATATGGATACAAACTGAAAAGATTGAAAGTTAATAGATCTACTCTTTATCTGCATAATGGTCCACAAACAGTCTCACACAGGAAAAAGGAAAACAAAAAAATAAAGAGTGTGGTCCTTTGATATCTGTAATTATAAGGCAACTTCTAACAAGTAGATTGCTTCTCTAGCCAATGGTTACATTACAGACATTAGACTTATTAGCACACAGACTTTATTATTAGTAAATTTTTTTACTTTATTATAAGTAAAACATAATGAAAGTACTAAAGGCCAAATTCTGCATCATTCTTTCCAAGCACAACTTGAAGAACAGAAGTTCTCTTCTGAATTACAAGAAAAGACTTGTTATAAATGTTTCTTCTTGTAACGCAGGACTTGAATGTTGATTGAAATCAGCTGAAAACAAAAGGTCAGTTTCAAGAGGCTCTATTTGAATGCCAGTGCTACTTCATTCTCTAACACACAAGGAGTCAAACTCCCTCTAGACACAAAGCATAAAAAGCTCAATTGTATAGAGAAGAAAGAAATTTCCTGGAGGACATTTTTTACAAAATGAACTTTTCAGAAATAGAGTATTCATATAGTTCTTGATAAAGGCAATGTCTTATTTAATAAAATACCAGCATAAAGTTAACATTTAATTGGACTTAGAGCCATTAAAAAAATAACATATATCTTATTTACCCAATGATGTGGGAGAAAAGTCGTATGTACGAGTCCCAGAACTGGTACCTGGCTCATTTTTAAGTGGATTTGAAGTGAGGGGCTGTCTAGTTCTTTTCTTCTGGTTGAATAGAGGTACAGGCAGACAACCTGGAATTAAAATGCAAATACTACTACTATACCAATAGCAAAATGTACAATCTACACTTAAAATGTGTAAATAAAAATTCTTAACTATATGTATGGCTAAACATAATGAAGTATGAACTGCAAAGCATAACAGAAGGGATGGTACCTGCTGTGCTGCGAGCTGAAGCATCAGCTAGACTCCTTTTCATTTCTTTGCTGTATCTTAATAGGCAAAAAATGATTACTCCAAATTTGCTGTATGGAAGTTAGATAAGCAGACAAAGTAAATTAATTCATGTGGTAAACACATCCAAATTGTATGTGATTTTATGGCAGTTTCTCTTAACTCTCTGTATACCCGGTCACTTCAGTCACGAGCCTAACACATGTGAGCAGTTGTACTGAATTTAGAAGATCCATGGTCACACAAGTAACATGCAATTGCTCTTTGAGGATTAAGGGCCCAAAGGATTACATTTCTGAAGTAAAAAATAAATTACCTGCTTTTAAAAACTGCTTTAAAAATACTGAATTCACTTCTGAACTAAAAACCAGATAGACATTCAAATACAATGATAGTTTTTTTAATTCCTGAAAATAGAATACTAATAGAAAATGCATACTTATACATTGCTGCAAAGTGTGATGGCAAGGTATGTGTCTTGGAATACAAAAATGATGTAACTCTTCTGTGAAAAACAGTGTCACACTTCAAAAAAGAAACTTTATCGAGTTTCCTCGTATTTAAAATACTACACAAGTTTGAAAAATCATTAGTATCAGCCAAATATGATGAACAGAAAACGTATGTACTAGTGTATTAGGTACAGGTAGTTTGCCATATTTGTCTTCTGATGAATCTAGAGTAAAAGTCTATGGATAAATGTATACATCAAGGATACCACACAGACTGCTGTGTAGCATTAGTTACTCTTCTATCAGAGTTAGTTACTGATGCACATTGCCTTTAGTGGTATATGAATAACACCACATACTTGTGTGTATAAATAACATAAGACATTACCTCTACATTTATTTTGATCTAGCAGTTAATCATATGCAGTTATTAAAGATGTTGGCGAGAATGAAGCACAAGTATCTACCACTGCCAGGCTAATAGATCAATTCACTCTTTATTTCTGTGAGATACATCAATTACATGTATACATTAGAGCAGCTTCCCGTTCATTGCTGTTACACAATTTAAACTGTATTGCTAGCACTATAAAGCCTACTAGGCACCAATAAGTGACACACTTCTAAAACAAAACCCCATAAACTTGACATCTCAGTTTATGAAGTCAGTTTTGGTACTGCATAGGGTTTTAGACTGTATTGCTTCGCCTTCTATTCTCTCTTGAAAATAAGCAAACAAAACCCAGAGCTAAAGCTGCAGAAAAAAAGTAAGCTAAGGCTGGAGAACACGAGTTACCAGGGTGAGCCTCCAGAGCACTTCACGCAGCACCAGTCACAGGCTAAAGCAGCCTGAAGCCCTCGCTGGAGTCTGAAGGACAGGCCTGAGGCCAAGCAGCCGCGCTCTCACACCTCGGTGAGAAAAGGCGGGAAGGGGCTGACCGCGGCCTCCTTTCAAAGGCAGCGGCGCAGCGCCCGTCAGGGCTGGCGCAGGCGCAGTTGGCGGCGAGCGGCCGGCAGTGAGGGGGCGGGTGTGGACACCGACGTCGGTGCCGAGCTGGGGAGAGGGCACGGCGAGGGCAGCTCCCAGGAGCGATTAAATCGTCCCTCTGTAGGGTGTAATTCATTATCTCTGTACCCGTGGTAGTGGCCGGCGTGGTGTCATGTTCAGCACTTAGAAAACCCGGGTAGGAGCTGAATATACACAAAGGTGTGAACACAAACATTGATGTAAATAAAACTTACCTGCATTCTTCACGCAGTTTTCAACCACTATTCTGGGTTTTACACAAGTCTGTTTTCAACTTCAACTGATTTCTGTGTAAAGTCTTAGTGCTCGGGAGGATTTGAGCCAGTTGAATTTTTGCAATCCAAATTTTTGCTTGAGCCTATGCCTTGGAAGGCTTTGGCGAGCCATGTCACACGTTTTATATATGTACCATTCTGGCTTTGAAACCTAGACTTCATTCCACTCACACTTTATTGCATATGTTTTTCCGCTTGTGGCACACATTCTAAGCTTTCAGAAGCACCATGAGGTATTTGTATATAGTACATGAAAAGTCTGAATTCTTAATAAAATATGATCCTACATAATTATTCAAAGTGTAAATATTGGCTAAGCACAGGAATAAGGGCTTGGTCGCAGTGTATAATTCAAAAGAATTAAAGTTTTTCAAGTGTTTGCATTTATGCCCTAAATTAATGGGTGCTTGTAATGTCCTGGGAGACCAGGAGTTAAAAGCTGTTTGGAAGTTAACATGCTCTAAGGATATAAAAGAAGCCTCCATGGTTTTAGTTCCTTAACTCATGTCTGGAAATGCACTGTATCTGCCCTAAGAAAGCTCTTCTTTGGAGACAAACTTCTTGCATGTTAAATGAGGTAAGTGCACAAACAATCTCTGTATTTCATTCAGCGTTTTGCAAGGAATTACAACCATTACAGTACCACCCCCAATAGAAGATAAACTACATGTGCTAGCGTCCTGTATTTACATTTTGCTGTTTACTCTTGAAACTGCTGTGGCTTTTAAATTCAGCAAACCAAGATTCAGAGCGCGAGTCATTTTTTCAGGCAGCGTATAAAGAGCCGTTTCGGCACCTTCGCTAAAGAGACTGGGGTCAAAGGACAGTACAGACTGTCCACTGCTGTAAAATACAACTTTACTGCTTTGTTTAATAAATTACTTACTATGATTAAATATCCAACAGCTTCTAAGTGCAGCAGTAATACAGTTGAGTGTTTAAGTAAACAGCCTCTCTGTATTAACTCGCTGCAAGGTTCAGCAAATCTGTATGCATAAACTGAAACATAGCAACTTTTGTAGGAAATATATTCCTGGCAGCCTTTGTCTAGATAAGTCCTATGTTTAGCTTCCTTTTCGTAGACCCACAGTCTATCAGCCTGGGTTATAAAGTCTCTCCCAGGAACTAGCCAAATATTCTCTCAGAGTATAATCTTGATAAAAAGAAAATGTTCAATAAACATTCTTTATTCCCTGGCAATGTTACATTTTTCATATGTATCTTGTGTGTCAGATACTAATTGCAAATACTTCTGTCATTTATAGCAGTAAGCCTTATGTTTTGTTACTAAGACCCTAATGTTTTGATCCTCATGATGGAAGTGATGGCTGCTGTTTGGCTTAAGTTTCAGAAGCCTGTTTGAATGCTTTGGGCAATGGAAGAAGTCAAGTTGTTAACTAAGGCGTTTTTTGGGGAGAGCACAACAATTGTCCCATCGTGATCTATATTTGTTTTCTTTTTAATAAGAGATTGCAAAAGTTAGAAGGATCATCACTGTCAAAGTTGTTCAGTGTGTTAGAGATGTGTATTAGCAGATCCTGAGACAGAACTAGAGGCAGAAATAGTGGGTAAGTCAGTCGTGGATAAATTGCACTTTAATTTTGGCTAGTGTTCCTTATAATCACTGCTCTTCAGCTATTAGAAAACAAAAAGGGTCATACAAGCAACAGCATGCTTTGAGGAACTCAGCTGCTCTTGTTTTTTTAGATGGAAGTACTTGATGTTTCAGCATTATGTGTTGATCTAGAGCCAAGATACGATTCATGTTTTGCTGGTTTTGCTCACTTTAAATCATCCTGCCCTTGTATACTCTAATGTTCAAGTAACTTCAAACATACATGAGTATACTTGTTACACCTAGTTTGCAATGCAAAAAGGTCAGAGATATTTAAGTGCCTTACTAAAGTATACATTAAAAAAGTCTTTTCTTACTGTTTATTGTAAGACTTACCTATAGATCGTATATTAAT